TTCTTTTCTATCTATTTGTCCACTTTAGGTGCACAAGTACACTTTTCACCTTTTGTTACTATATATATTTCTACTCATTTGCACCCTTTTCTATCTATTTTCTTTTGATGTTGTTTGGAGTCAGATTGTGTTACCAATCCCTCAAAATGTCCTCATATAGACTGATTTATTATTTTTATTTAATGTTTGGAGTGAAATTATTATTTTAAAACTGTGTAGATGTGCAAAGCTTTTGTTATTTGTTAATTTTAATAAATAGATTCTTGGAAGCAAAGAACTAAGTGATTGATGTGTTTTATTGATAGTTTCTGTTGGAAATACAACTCATTTTGATAAATTGTTTAATTTTAGTAAAATTTGGTGGCGGAAAATGATTGATAGGTTATTAGTTTGGCATCTACATATCTATGTGATTTTTTTTATCAATTCTTTGAATGAGCATCATAATGTTTGCAGTTACAGTTACACCTCTTTTTGTTCAATACAATTCAATAAAGCTTAAGCCGTCGATATGTTTGATTCCTAACAATAATGTAGGAGCCATCAATATGTTAAGTATCTATTGATTGCTATGTATATAATATGTATTTAGTGAAGTTAACTTTTGTATTACAGGTTTGGCAATACTAAGCTGCATCAACCTCTAAAATTTCCAGCCATTTGTTATATTTATATAGATTTACAGTCTAAATGGGATGAGATAAAATGGGATTTAATTTTATGATAATGTGTTTAGTATGTATATGATAATGGGTCTCAAATATAATAAGATTTAAGTTTCTGATAATGTGTTTTATACAAACGAGTTATCCTCTACCGTCTAGAACTTGCTGTTTAGTGGATGGAGCTCTCAATTTTGCTAAATAAACTTTCAAAAGGCTTTGATAGTCAAATATGCTAGTTTTTTGACATTTTTTTTTGTCATTACTTTGCTGGTTTTTGGTTTTTCTGGGTGTTTGATTATTGAAAAAAAGAAGGATATCTTTATAGCTTCTGAAATTGTGAGATTGACTTTGACTTGGTTTAGTTTGACTTGACGAAATTGTGAGACTTTCAATACATTATTTTTTGTTTGCTTTTCTATCTATTTGTCCACTTCAGGTGCAACAATATATATTTGTTGACTTTACAACTACATATATTTCTACTCATTTGCACTCTTTGCCAAGTTAATATTCAGATTGTGTTACCAATACTTGAAAATGTGGATTCATATTGTATTACCAATACCTGAAAATGTTTGTTAATTTTAATAAATATATTCTTGGGAACACAACTCATATTGGTGGTGAAAAATGATTGTTGGGTTATTAGTTTGTCATCTGCATATTTGTGTGATTTTTTATTAATTGCTTGAATGAGATATTTTATTCATGGTATATGAATTAACTTTATAAATTTTACAGTTCCATTTAAACCTCTTTTAGTTCAATTAAATTCAAGAAAGCTTAAGCCATTGATATGTTTCATTCCATTTAAGTATCTACACTTGGTGAATTAAAACAACCTATGTATTGCTACCTTTCCATGAACAAAAATAACTCTTGTCTTGCTTGGATTTATATGTATTTACTGAAGTTAACTTTTGTATTACAGGTTTTCGCAATACTAAGCTACAACAACCTCTAACATTATGGATAATGTAAGTTGTCTTTTTTAAAAAAACTAGTACATAGATTTTAAAAAAAAAAATTGTATTACAAGTTTTGATTATAAATTTTTTTTCCCTTATTTTTTACAGCTAGATGGAGACTTACAACGAACTGTAATATTCATTCCCTTTACTCATCGTCTTACAAAATTTCATTTTGTGTACATATCAACTACTCATTTGTTTTTGTATGTATAGGTTCAGTTTCTTCAACAAAGAAATATCGGTGTAGTGATTCGTGATGAGCATGATTTCAATGCTGTTCGTATTTCTAAGGTCAGCCCAAAAATCATTTTCTTATCATTTTGTTCATACCCATTTTCATTTTTATTATTATTATTTCTTATAGTTTGGTTATTTTTTAAAGGCAATGGAAAAGGGAATATGCAAAGGCAATGTCGAAGGGAAAAGAAAAGGTGACTTATGCTTGCAAGGGCAAGGGAAAGGAAAATGCATGTCCAGCGGTATGGTTCTTATTGGTTTTTGTAGAGTGTTTTTTAAAATTATTTATTTTCGTATGTTTGTATTTTAAGCCATAATTGTATGTCCAATTGTTTAGTTTAAGCCATAAACAATTGTTTATTTTAAGCCATAATTGTAGAATGTTTTTGAAAATGCATGTCCAATTGTTTATTTTAAGCCATAATTGTAGAGTGTTTTTGAAAATGCATGTCCAATTGTTTATTTTAAGCCATAATTGGATTTTAGCTTTTAAACTTTGCACTTTTTCAAGTGTCCTGTATATATGTGGAAATCTGCACTACTTTTCAATGTAAGTGCGCGGAAATTTTGAGATAAAGACATAAATAGAGAGGAGGGAGAAAGGAATAGAATGTGACAAAATGGGCAAATGCTTTTCTTTTCTTTTCTTTTTCCAGGTACATGTCCTCTTTAAATGGGATACTTTATAAGCTGGCCGAACATTTGTTTGTTTGTGTAACAAAATCACACAATTTATTATACAGATTATACTTGGTTGTAAAAAATGACAAAGGTTACTGATGCTTGCAAGGGCAAGCGAAAGGAAAATGCATGTTTAGTTGTATGGTTGTTATTGATTTTTGTAGAGTTTTTTTATTTTTTATTTTTGTATCTTCATATATATTGAATAAGCCATAATTGTTTTTTATTTTCGAAACTATGCACATTTCTTTGTGTCTCCTGTATATTCTTAGGGAGAAAGGAATAGATAGGGGACACTTTATGAAGGAATATATAGTGAGAAAGGAATATATAGTCTCCTGTAAGTGCATAGGCCCAACAAGACAATCGTGTATGTGTCCTGTTTAAATGGGGCTACTTTATGAAGCTCACAAGCTGGCCGAACATTTGTTCATTAGTGTTACAAAACTACACAATTTATTATTATTATTCTTATAAGTTGGCCGAACATTTGTTTATTAGTGTAACAAAACCACACAATTTATTATGGGTAGTTATGGGCAAGAGTATAATGCATTTTTTTGAAAGAGGGGATATAAAAATGGAAAATGGTATTTTGTTTGGACAGTGGAAAATGGTACTTGATAATATTTGCATTTTAGGCATCCAATGATCTAATATTCACATTTTAGGGACCCAATGGTTATGTTATATCAAGAGTTGTATTAGCTCAATGTGCACGATGAGAACGTGAAAGAAATGAAAATGCATGCTTTGCATATCAATCGGGACAACGCTTGCGACAAGAACGAGAGAGATTAGGAGCATACGTTAAAGACTTTCCTTCATTAACACCGAGTCGTCGCAGTCACGCATGCTTAGAATAGGGTACAAAGACAATTGAGGATACTTCATTGGCACAAAAACGAACAATGGTTACACATGCATCCACATGTTCATTCTCTATCATTGGTAAAACATGTTTAATCCTATAAATAATACTCTTACTTTTACATGTGTATAAATTTTAATTCAACAATGATAAAGACCACTAATTTTGGAGCTCTAAAAAGATCACTAATGACATGACACTTAATAAAAAAATAAAAAAAAATACAACACAAGGTCAAAACATCAAATCATTCATAGTAGGGTCCACTGCCACATCATTAGTGCTCTCACTCATTTTCCATTTTAATTTATGGACAACAAATATTTGTAGGCCTAATTCTACAATCACATACCTTCAAGAGGATCTATGTACAGATGTTGAATTAGAAGATATGACTATAAGTACTGCGATTAATACTCGATCACACATGAATTCATGTCGTCATTCTCTCGGCAAGATAGATGTGTTATGTCCTTATTGTTCAGCCTTACATTGGATGGCTGAAAAATTAGCACAATCATGTCGAAAGCGTCCCCTATTTGGAACTTGTTGTTCAAAAGGAAAGACTAGCTACCTCTGCTTATGACACCCCCTTCATCGCTTCAAGCATTATATGATGGGGATGATGATCAAGCAAGATCGTTTCGATGTTATACTTGATTGTACAATGCAGGTAATGCTTTTACAAGTCTTGGTGCTACATTGGATCCAAAAGTACTAAGGGGAAGTGACCCTACATCATTTATTATCCATGGGAAATTGCGACATCAAATAGGATCACTTCTACCACAGCCAGGGCAGGATGCGACTTATGCTCAATTGTACATTTATGATCCTGATTTAGCTTTAGAAGTTCAAAATCGTAGAAATCCTCACTTACGAAGGGATGTTTTCAAAACTATTCAAGATAGTTTGTTGTAAGTTAAAGCATTTGTAGACAAATTTTGCCAGGCTTATGCAATTTTGAATCAATTAGCTTTAACTGGACAAAATCTACCTGCTCATCTTCACTATAGTTCAGCAACAGACTGATGACAGTATAACCTACCAACTACTGATGAGATTGCAGTTGTAATACCAAGTGATGGAACCGAGGTTACTGGAATGAGAGATGTTGTTTTACATCTACAGGGAAATAATGAACTTATGCAAATTAATGAATGTCACCCAGCGTATTTTCCATTGCATTATGTTTCATTATTCCCGTATGGTGAGCTTGGATGGGAACCTAAGTTGAAATTGTGGGACGTTAAACATGATCGGCCTTCAACTGATCGACTTACTCAAATGGATTTTTATAGTTATCGTTTGTTTGAGCGACCTACAGAGTATTCAACAATTTTGAGAGGTGGGAAACTATTCTAAGAATTTTTAGTAGATGCTTGGGCCGCAACTGAGCAAAATCGGTTGACGTACTATAAGCTTAATCAAAGAAAAATTCAGGCTAAACTTTAACAAGATTTGAGCGATATTGATCCAGATGACTTGCGACCTAATCAAATTGGTCAAAGGTTTATTTTGCCATCTTCATTTACTGGTAGTCCAAGACATATGTTTGAAATCTTTCAAGATTCAATGGCTATCACGCGATACAACCAGCACCCAGATACTTTTCTCACCATGACTGCAAATCGCAATTGGCCAGAAATTACTTCAGCATTATTACCACACCAAAAAACTATTGACCGTCCTGATTTGATTGCCCGTGTTTTTGAGCTAAAAAGAAAGTGTTTGATGAAGGAGATAGAGACAAACAAAGTGTTCGGTAATAAAGTTGCACATGTTTTTACAATTGAATTCCAAAAACAAGGCCTACCACATATGCATGTGCTTCTCTTTATTAAATGTCCAGATAAAATTCGAATATGTGCTCAAGTAGACAAATTAGTTTGTGCAGAACTTCCAGATCCAAAAAATGATCCTACATTTTTTGAAACTGTCAAGTGTTGCATGGTACATGGACCATGTGGTGCTCGAAATCCCCAAGCACCATGTATGGAAAATGGTAGATGCACTAAGAAATACCCTCGAGCCTTTGCAGAATCAACAACTATGGACCAAGATGGATATCAAATCTATCGTCGTCGCAATAGTGGTCAAGTATATACTGTGAGAGGACAGGAAGTTGATAATAGGGATATGGTACCATACAATGCATATCTTTCTAAACGGTTCAACTGTACATAAATGTAGAAGTTTGTGCTGAAGTGAGATGTGTTAAGTATATACATAAGTACATTTACAAGGGTTATGATCGCACAATAATGGTTTTTGGATTGATTAATGAGATCCAACAATATCTCGATGCAAGGTATATTGGACCATCAGAAGCTGTTTGGCGAATATTCGGTCATCATTTGCATGCAGAGATGCCAACAGTTGTTCACTTGGCACTTCATCTACTTGGAATGCATCGTGTTCTTTTCAATCCTAATGACTCATCAGAAATGATTCTTTCTAGAGCTGCGCAACAAAAATCGACTCTTACTGGTTTTTTTGACTGTTGTGCTTCTAATGAAAATGAATGCCAATTCACTTACCAAGAATTTCCGCAACATTTTGTTTGGCTCAAATCAGAACATAGATGGAAACCAAGAGAACATGGATATGCAATTGGTAGAATGTACTTTGCTAGCCCAAACTGTGGTGAAAGTTTTTATCTGCGTTTGTTGTTAACTGTTGTCAAAAGCCAAGATCGTTTCGATGTTTACGTACAGTTAACAATGTTTTGCATGAGATGTTTAAATCATCATGTGTTGCAAGAGGTCACTTAGAAGATGATGAAGAATGGATACAGTGCCTGAAAGAGGCTACAGTTATGAAAACTGAATATCAATTGAGGAGATTGTTTTGTATTATTCTGACGCAATGTTTTTCACTACAACCGCATGCGTTATGGAATCAATTTTCAACGCATATTTGTGATGATCTTGCACATAAGCTTCGTACATTGTTTGTCATTTCTAATCCAACTGAGGCTCAAATTAAAGATTATGGTTTGTATCTTTTGAATCAAATGCTTCAAGAATCAAGAAAGACTTTAATTGACTTCCCGCCCATGCCACAACCTACAACAAATTGGAGTGCAACAGTTGGTAACCGATTGATATTCGAACATCAACAACTACAGAACGAGGCACAGCAGACAGATGTGCAAATTACTATTGATTGCCTCAATAATGGACAACGAACTACTTATAACGCAATCACTTCTTCAGTCTTTGAAAGTAAAGGGACTATTTTCTTTTTGAATGGGGGTGCCGGAATCGAAAAAATATTTTTGTATAATACGATTGCATTAAAATGTCGCAGCCTTGGCCATATTGTTGCTACTGTTGCTTCATCTGGAATTGCATCATTGCTATTAGTAGGAGGTCGCACTGCACATTCAACATTTTTCATTTCATTGGATGTCTTGGAAAGTTTAGTTTGTGGGTTTAGCAAGCAATCATTACAAGCTGAATTGTTTAGAGAAACAAAACTCATAATTTGGGATGAAGTTCCTATGCAACATAAACATTGCGTTGAGGCGGTTGATCGCACACTTCGAGATATTTGTGATAGTGAAAAGCCATTTGGGGGTATCACTGTTGTTCTTGGTGGAGACTTTCAACAAATCTTACCAGTTATAACCAAAGGAGTTTGTGAACAAATTGTGAATGCGTCATTAAGACACTTTGTTTTGTGGAAGGATCTACATGTTTTATCTTTAGATTTCAATATGCGCTTGAATCATGAAAACCTTGGAAATGCTATTTTTGCAAAATTCTTGACGGAGGTAATACTCATTCGAACTTTTTCCTTATCAAATGGTGCTTCAAATTGAGTATACTTTGATTATATCATTTCTTTTAAATTTATTTTATTTTATTTATTAGATTGGGACAAATCCGCAAGAAATCATTAAAATTCCATCAATAATACACAAATGCTAGGATCTAAAGGAATTACTCTCAGCAGTTTATCCACATTTAGATGTGGCAAATACATCAACCCCATCATTTTTAACTGAACGCACCATTCTTTCAGCACAAAATGATGATGTCAGTGCTATCAATAATGCTGCATTAAATATTTTTCCAAGGAATACATATACGTATCTTGCTGCAGATAAGATGGCTAAAGATGATGAAATTGATCATTCCATTACAAACAGATATCCTAATGAGTATTTAAATTCATTGGATCCTCCTGGGCTACTAACTTTTAAGGTGGAGTTGAAAGTGGGTTGTCCTATAATGTTATTAAGAAACATTGCACTGAAAGATGAACTATGTAATGGTACAAGATTGATGGTTTCAAGGTGCGACACTCGCATAATTGAAGCTCGAATCTTAACTGGAGAGAAGTTTGGCAATTTGGCATTTATACCAAGGACATCATTGACTCTGTCTTCTTTAGAAATACCTTTTCGAATGACAAGACGTCAATTTCCAGTTCGATTGGCATACGCCTTGACCATTAATAAATCTCAAGGACAATATGTGAAATTTGTTGGGGTTGACTTGCTTACACCTGTTTTTAGTCATGAGCAACTATACGTGGCATTATCCAGATGCACGTCTTTCAATCATATCAGTATCCTCCTCCCCAAGGATGAGCCAGATTCCACTACAAATATTGTTTACCCTGAAGTTTTGTTATAGTGATATGTTCGGAAATTGATAAGGTGTTCGTAAGAATTGTGGGAAAGAACAAATTTGAAGACATTGTCAAACACATATTTTTGTAAAGTATACACATTTTGTAAAGCAGATGATAACTATGACCCACTTTTTGTAAAGCTTTCCACCGATGTGGACTTTGTTGCATTACTAATATTTTTGTAAAGCTTTTATTCCCCAATATTTTTGCATTTCCAGTATAGCTAAGTTTGACTTAAGTGTATTTAATATAATGTTTGTTTGGATTATGTAGTGGCAAATCTTATTTTATTTTTTTACCTCCAGTTATTTTAATGGCTTTATTTTGGGGACATCTCTGTATGGGTGTTTTTAGGTGTGTTTGTATTTTGTTTTCATGCATAATTGTTGACTTCTCATCTAGAGCATGTTTCTTTCCTATAACAGGTTTCATGCTCCTTTGTACCAATTAACTGTATCTAAGGTCAGCTACTTCTCATGCTCATTTTGAAAATTTAGTATTGTTTGATATTATTCTGCTTTTGAAACTCCATACATTTTGTTTTCCTTTTGTACTTATAAATGCACAATTTATAGATTGTGCTACGGCGGATTTGAACAATATATTTTTGGTACCTATTAATAGTTGGAGCTATTTGATGTTTATTTAAATTATTTTTTGTTTTTGTTGCATATATGTTTGTAGCATTTCATTACACCATGTTAACACATTAAAGGTATCCTAATTGTGTAAGGTTTTTTTTTAGTTCATGAAATTTTTTAAGATTTAATATTGTCATTTCTAAGATTTAATAGTCATTTTCTATTGCATAACATTTGTTTAGGGTGCACTCCAATATGGCATATGGCTGCTTGGTCTATTTATTACTTCCATTTTTGAATTTTTTTAAAGTTTAACAAGGGAGCTCTGTTTTTGGTTAGTTTACTTTTTTGTTTTGTTTTTGATTTTTTTTTTTTTTTTGGGACAAATTTGTTTGGGTTTACTTACAGTGTTTATGAAAGAGATCATGCTTTAATTACACCTGAAAGTTATGTGATCAACCCTTTACTTGATTGGTATATTGCAACTCTATGTTTTGACATGTGTCTTGGATATTATTAAATGGATATAGCATGAACTAGAAATTAACGTTTTATTAGGATGTCTTTCTTTTATTTTATCAACCAAAAGAAACACAACATAATCATAGTATATTGCCTTAGTTGTCCTATTATTTTTTCTACTTGGGAGTTGATTATTTAAAATTATTTAAAATTAGAGGAGGTTGATTATTTACTTGGGAGTTTTTTCTACTTGTTCTCATTTTTTGTCAAGTGCTTCGAATAAGGCAGTAAAACTAGAGGAGGAGAACATGCTAAGATCAAGTTAGCGGGACTATGTTAAGATATAGGAGGAAAACATGTTAAGATTAGGGGAGCTGAACTATGTTAAAACTATAAGAGGAAAACATGTTAAGATCATTTTCATTTCAAGTATTGATACTAGCAACAGTTGATGGCTATTGGATGACTTTAAATCTTTTAATTTGGCTATTTATTAAAAACAACAATTTCTATTCTAAAGTTGTCTATAGTTGATGTAATTGATGATTTTCACATTAATTTGTCAAGTTATACTTTGCATTTGGCCTAATCCATGTTATTTGTTTTATGTTATTTCAATCAGATATTTGTAGTTCGGGGTACTGTGACACTCACCAATTTATCAGGTGTTAGCCACAAACTAATGGTAAGAGTGTTGACTTCATCTTTTATTTTGAATCAGTTTATTACAATTGAGTTCTCCACGTGGTACCAAAAAAATATTGTCTTTCTTTTGAATTGAATTGATTTATTACTTTGGACATGTAAGTTGTCACTACTTTGGACATGTCAGTTGCCTTTTTATTTTTTTCCTTTTTAAATACACTCTCCCCCCTCTAATTGTCTTCTAATAAAATTATGTTCTCTTTTATTTTCATAGGACGATGGAGATTTGCACCAAACTGTGATATTGGCTCTCTTTACTCATCTTCTTATTTCATTGGGAAAATTACAAATCAGTGAGTTTCTAAATATTTTGCGAAATTATCACCTATTTATAATTTTTCTTATTTAATTTACTCTTCTTACTATACATTTTCTTTCAGGTATTGATACAAGCAATACTTGATGGCTATTAGATGACTTTAAAATCTTTTTAATTTAGCTATTTTGTAAAGCAACAATTTCTATTCTATAGTTGATGTAATTGATGATTTTCACATTAATTTGACAAACTCGATGAGTTGCAGGAATTATTTTTTTTACAAACTTAAATTTCACCATTTAAGCAGTTTTATGAAAAATGTATTGCTATATTGTTGGGATGCTATGACATAGAGTTGATTTCTTCTTCATAATATGATGCATTTAGTTTTTCAATTTATAGTTGATTGCAAAATTCATTTATATTGGATGATGATTCATGACTTTTGTTATATAGATTGTCTATTCTTTGTTGCAGAAAATTTAATATTGGGGCTCCCTCCGCCATATAAAGATGTGTCAATGCTTTCTTCTGATTGATTGAAAAATTATTTCAAATATTTGCTTTATGTATCTTAATATGTAAACAATTTCTATAGATTACTATTTGTTAGGTTATGGTGTTTATGTTGTCTATATTATGTTATTTCAATCAGATATTTGTGGTTTGGGGTACTATGACACTCACTAGTGTATCAGGTGCTTAGCCACAAACTAATGGTAAGAGTGCTAACTTGGTCTTTTATCAAGTGCTACAGACTCTACAAATTTTAACATGATACGTACAATTTATAGTTACATTTTGATCCCAATATTATTTACATCGTGTTTTCAAGCACGGGCATACACTAGTCACTATCTAATTTAGCTAGCCATTCAAACTAACTTAACCAATTTTCAAAATAAAAATGCTATATACAGAAAAATCAAATTCCATTTCAAACAATAAGTAGTTACCTAATTGATTTTTACAGATTTTCCAATAATAAGTTTAGTTTCAAATTTCAGTTAACAGCAAGACAATGAAAATTACAGATGGCTAAGGGCTCAAAAGTTCAATACAGTCATAAAAATCACCTGAATAAATCAATCACAAGCTAAATTTATGCTCAATCAATTGAACAACATATTATATCACAACAATCACTTTAACAAACCAACCCACAAGTAATATCTTGAAGCAAATTTACAATAACATAACACCAACTTTGCTAAAACAAGTAAAAAAAGGTAAATCATATGTGAGCAAAAGAAATCAATCATAGCGATTCATATGACACAAATCCCACATAACTCATGTCCGAGCAACTATAAACATCAAAAATTAATAATAAAATGTAAAACAACGATAAGACTCCAACAGTTCAAATCCAAAACCATGATAGAGAGAGAGAGAGAGAGAGAGAGAGAGAGATCGTTCATACCTAGACTCCAGGTCGCACGAAGAGAGAGAAAAAGCAAAATGTGTGAGAGAGAGAGAGAGTTTGGGTTGGGATAAGGAGAACAGGCCTAGAACTGGATAACCCACCTACTTCGGCGGTGGAAGTAGGGTTTCGAATGCTCACCGTTTTCAGAGCAACCACTTAATCGATGAAATAGAGTGAGAGTGAAGGAAACAAATGGTTCATATTTGCCCATTTATATAGAAGAGTATTTCAGTCTTTTCACCATGTTTTTTTTATTTGAGGGGCTTTTAGAACCATTACTTTATTTCGTGGGCTTCACACAAAAAAGGCTCAATGGAAGGGGCTTTTCACCAAAAAATCCCATTAATTAAAAGAGAACTAAATGAACAGTGTTATTAGGAAGATAGATGCATCAATAAGTCCTCTTAATTTTTTGATTATCAAAAAGTCTGATTCACCTTTAATTGCTATTACAAATTTCTAATTTTTATTTTTTAGCAATGTTTTTATAAATAAAAAAAAAATGTCACTAATTACTAGTTTTTAGTGACAATTGAAAAAATTGTCACAAAAAACATTATTAATTGTCATTTTTTAACGACGAATTTAGAAAATCATTACAAAAAATAATTGATTGTCAATTTTTAACAACAAATCTAAAAAATCATCACAAAAAATTACCACTAACACTTGTGAAACATTTTGATTTATACAATCACTTGTGGGACTTAATCTTGCACATATCCTTATAATAGGGCCTGTGAGTAATTATGAAAAATCATTAATACCCCTCAGATTTCTTACAAATATAGGAATACCCCCTTTGTTTTGTGAAATTATAAAAACACCTCTTATTTATTTAACAATGTATATAAAGAGTAATGTTATAAATACATAAACCAAATAAAGATGTCTCATAAATGTGAGTTTGTCACGACCCAAACCCGGCCCTATGGGTTTAGCACCGTAACCGGCCAGTAATCCGAGATTACCCGAGGCCTGCAGAACAGTAGTACAGTAAAACAGAGTACAGGGCCTGGCGGAAGCCAAAACAGTAATTAAACAATGCCCAATGAGCTGTGACAGTCTGTATGCCAAAAAGATTTTTCATGCATTCGTATATGCACAACAGTACAGGCTATACAAGCATTTACAGACATTCAGTACAGGGATCTAATCCCTTGATAACAGTACAGTACAGTGGATAACAGTCTATACAGTAATACAAAATAGTAACAGGGACCAGCGGGGGAAAAGACACCCCAAACCATAGCATGGCGAACTCGGAACCTCACAGTGAGGCACTGTGGTTGGCTTGACAAAACTGGAATAACCCTGACGCCTCTAGCTTTGGTCCAGTGCCTGTACACCTACATATATATATGAGCAGTGAGCTAAAGCCCAGTGAATAACATAAAGCGTAAAGGGGTTTAGAATGAATGTCCTTACAGTAATGAAAACAGTTCATTTCAATCAGTAATTCAGTTGCTCAGTACAGTAAACAGTCATATGTGGTACATCCATTAGCATACCAGTAACAGTAGGTCTTAAAAGACCGAACAGTAATGATGGCCATCAGTCAGTAAACAG